TCATGGTGCATGCAGGGGAATATCTCGTGGCGGGGCTGCCTGATCTTTCGATCCACATGTGCGCCGAAATGCCCCATCGGAGTGCTCGTGTGCGAGTGTCTCTGCCTGTGTACGTGTGTGTCTTTTGAATGCTCATGTATACGCTGTGCATTATGTTTCCAGGATCCTTCGCATGTATACATAGACAGATTGTGCAAAGCTGTTGCGATGCTGCCTGGGCGATTCATGTGCACAGTGTATAAACATGCTCAACATAGGTTGCATGAGGCATCCTGCCACAGACTCCGCATTAGACGAACGTGAATTCCTGACCAAAGCAATGGTATGGCGGCCCGATGTGGCGGCCATGTTGGGCATGGGAATTCCCCGGGTGCTCATTCTCACATGCTACCTCCTCTCCTGCTGTTCCCAGTTTGAAGCTTCGCTGCATGGATTCTGTTGAAGTATACATGGCTTTGCATGGGAACAGCATTGCCAACCTGTTGTCCGAGGAACTGGAGCTCCGGGATATTGCCGTGCTGGAGTTGTTCGCTGGACTTGGGGTCCCTCGAATTATGTCCCGTTCGTGAGCCACCTGTTGGATGTGTTCGTGTGCACGCCTCTCTGTTTTTGACTAGGTCTACATGCATGAGGAGCATTCTGTGTGCATGTGTTGTTGAGCACATGGTCTGAGGCTGTGGTACGTGAGGCGGATCGACGTGGATTCCAAACCGCTGCCCTGGACTCCAGCAGAGATGATGCTATGAACGTGCTGAGTCCTGTTGGCTTCCTGTCACTTCGCAGCATGTCTCAGTCTTTTGCCACATGTGCCGTCGACAGGAGGCTTTCGTGTTCATGTTGCAAGTGTGACCTCAGGGCTTCACTTCTGTGTGTGCTTCGCATGCAACATGGGGGCTTGCTTGTGGCGAGGCCACCTTGTGACAAGGCTGCAGGTGCACGTACATTTGTCTTGAAATGTAATATGTATATATATATATATATATACACACATACATAATACTATATACCCTGATCAGATAGAAGAGAATATAACTTATTATATATCTTTCGAAGCTGTCATTGGACAAAGCTTAGACATGTCTATTTCTGGCCGCTGATCTACTCTCGTGCCACACACTTGAGGTTCTTATTCTTGCCTATCGCGAGTCGACAGATGCTTGCTTCGACAAGAGGGACTACAACAGTTCCCCAAGGCTTCCGAGGGCAGCCTCATCTCTGCCAGGACGCCTAATTGCACATATTTCGTTTGAGAGGCATATGCAGAAATTGTTCGGGTAATTCTGCTGTGTGTGATCAACTTTGCCGAGCCGCGACAACGACAACCAAGGATGTGTCTGCTTTGGCATGCTGCTCGTGCTGCGGGCGCATACATATTGCTGGACCAACCGCATTACAGGGGAGTGTACCTCTTCAAGAGCAAACGATGGCAACATATTTCGCAGGGGTCAAAGGTGCGATCCTCTGATACTCCGTCTCGTGTCTGTTCTTGAAATGTTTGCACTGCACGCATCCCATGCCTCCGTGCGGAGGTCTACAAGATCCACATAAAGATGGGGGCATTCGGCTCCAACTGGGAGAGGCCCACGTGCTTGTGGAGCAACCACAAGCAGTGGCTCGGGGGCTTGTGCAAGGACCTTTCGCTAGATGATGTGCATCGTATAGATGCTTTCCACGCTTCTCTGGCGAAACGGACAAGGGACGCTTGTCTTGCTAATGATTGTTGTGTTTTGCTGCCGGCCGGATGCTGCATCCGTGCATGCTGTCTGGCACGTATATGGCAAGGATGAAGAAAGTGGCCAGATGGGGCCCACTGGTAACCCCGATGCCTTGACGCAGTGCGAGACACTTGGTTTGTGTTTTGTTTGATGGGGGGAGGGGATTGGGCTCCTGGACTGAAATTGTGCTTGTATCTTGTCTGCACAAGCATGCAATGCTCTCCCAATCATGCACTCTTTTCTAGCTGACTCAGGATGTACACGGAGGGCTTTGCATCGGCTGTGATGGATGCCTGGTCGTGCGGCTGTGAAGGATCCCAGGCTCCTGGGAGACTTCTTAGTTTTGCTGTGATGTACGTATATATGGCCACATGCATGTGTCCAGAGTTTCAGGATCTCCCCATCCGTGGGCACTGCGAGACCTGTCATGCTATGACGGCCATGCCATCATGCTTTCTGAGCTCCATCAGGGATGATGTGGAGGACTTTTCATGGCAATGCACGCCCATGTGTTATCGGCTGCATTCTAGAAGCTGGAGGAGCGAAATGTTGCTTTGCTTTTCGGTGCCCCGATGGATGCATGGGACGATGTGACTTGGTCAGTCTGGCCACGCTTCGTCGTGATTCGTGTGTGCATGACATGAGAACAACTGTGCTATGGTGTCCAACCCCAGGCCAACATGTGTGATGTGATACATCACCTCCGTAATTCTCCGGACCTTCACCTTCCTGGATGCTGGCCGCAGGACTGGTAGCAGCGAGTGATGTGCATTTGAATTGCAAAACCTCGGCCGCCGATTGCTGTCCCACGCTTGGTGCCCTGTCCCATGTCTGTGGGCAAACCCCGACTGAGGAATCATGATATGTGTGAACATCTTGCACATTCTATCTTAAGAATTAGTTACCTAATAACTGCTAAAATGCGGCGACGAGGACGCTGGCGATGACGACGACGACTACTATATACAACAACAACTACTACTACTACTACTATACTGCTACTACTACTACTACTACTACTACTACTACTACTACTACTGCTACTACTACTACTACTACTACTACTACTATACTACTATACTACTATCACTATACTACTTCTACTTCTACTTCTACCTCTAGTTCTAACTTCTCTACTAGCTACTACTACTACTACTACTACTACTACTACTACTACTACTACTACTACTACTGCCACACTACTACTACTCCTGCTGCTGCTGATATACCACATCGCAGGAATTATTTGCAGGAACCATACCCCTATCGATCATGCTATGTGTGCACATGTTGCACATTTTACTGTATTGAATATTGAATACCAAAATTTACTTCACTATACGACTAGCATACGTGAATTCGTGTAGCTTTCCGTAGAATTCCATAAACTTGTTCTTGGAGTTTTGTTGTTGGGAACAAATGTCATATGCTTTAGTATTGACATCGAAACATATCCCAGCAACAACCACCTAACAACAACAATATGAGTCGCGAACCGAACTCAACATCAACCTATATACAAAACATCGTTTCGATGCTCAAAACAGGCTCGCGTAAATAAGCGTAAATTGGCGTAGATTTGCGTAAATTTCCATAAACTTGTTCCTGAAAATTGTTCCTGGGAACAAATTTACACATGCCAAAAAAAAAATCGAAATATATCCCAGCGACAACAACTTAACAACAACAATATGATTCGCGAACCGAACTCAACATCAACCTATATACAAAACATCATTTCGATGCTCAAAACAGGCTCGCGTAAATAAGCGTAAATTCGCGTAGATTTGCGTAAATTTCCATAAACTTGTTCCTGAAAAATGTTCCTGGGAACAAATTTTCATATGCCCAAAAAAACCATTCGAAACCTGTCCTGGCAATCGTCCGAACATAAATTCATCATTGTGTCCACTCCGAATTGCTATCTTTGCATCATCGCACAAACCTGAACACTAGGAAAAGTGGTGCTTGCTGTTGCGGCAAGCAAACTGCGACAGACCTCCACGGAAGAATCTGTCCATGATATGGGTTCCAACTTGTCAAAGGAACCAGGAAAAGGTTGCTTTCGAGGAACGAAATGTCTGAAAATACCTGCTTTTACATGGAGAGTCTAAACCATGCAAGAACAAAAAATCACTTCTGAATGGGTCTGGCAGTATCTGAAAATCAATCCCGTTATGCCTTGTCAGCCGGCGGCCCAAACTTGTCGCAAGAAAAAAAAATAATGTAAAATACCTACGAAGTCCCTCCATTTCGAGGACTACCAGAGCAATCATGTGGTTTTACGAGCCGACTTATTCCTGCGAATTCGGCTTTTCTATCCTCCGTGGGAAATTCTTTTTGTGATAGTCAGCTATTTACATGGTGAATTCTCCGTGATCAATCAGACAGGACGAATGGCAGGACGCTGCTGCATGACTACCAGAACAATCATGTGGCTTTACGACCCGACCTGCCAATACGGCTTCTCTATCCTCCGTGGGAAATTCTTTTTGTGATAGTCAGCTATTTACATGGTGAATTCTCCGTGATCAATCAGACAGGACGAATGGCAGGACGCTGCTGCATAACTACCAGAGCAATCATGTGGCTTTACGACCCGACCTGCCAATACGGCTTCTCTATCCTCCGTGGGAAATTCTTTTTGTGATAGTCAGCTATTTACATGGTGAATTCTCGGTGATCAATCAGACAGGACGAATAGCAGGACGCTGCTGCATCGTTTGGAAGGATTAATTGTGCGGGTCGTGAATATATTCAATGTAAATTACCTGCGAATTCCATGCGTGCAGCCCGTTTGGTGCTTTCCTATATACACACCCACACACACAGCCAAACCAGGGCAGGGGGGGCAGGGGCACGGAATGGTGTGGGTGAGGAACCAGGGGTGCTGGGGCTTGCAGGGGGGTTGGGGGGGGGAACCAGGGGTGGGGATTGGGATGGGTCAGTGCTGGGCATATACGTGGGACGGGCCTTTGCTTGCGGGCTGAGGGGCTTGGGGCTGCGGGGGATGGGGCTGGGACAAAACACACACGCGACACGATGACCTCAGTCGGGTTTTCCTTGCAGAGTGCAGAGTGATCATGCTTGCTGGCACGTTCGGTCCACCCCATGCATGCATTGAAGCACATCCAGACAATCTTGTCCATCATGAGACGAAATTTTGTTTTCTCGAGCTCTGTCGATCCTGAACCATGCCTCCCTCGAAGCGGAAAGAGCTGCAGTCAGATCCCACGGCCACTGGCCGGCAACGACACATATGTCTGTGTTTAACTAGGGTGCTGCATGGAGCATTTGAACATTATACATGTGGTGTACACCCAGGCGAAGGATGCGGCACATTTTGATGCTTTGGCATTGAAAGCTTTAACCAGCTTGCAGCCGGAGATCCGCAAGAGTGTCGAAGCGAAACTGTGCCGCGGCTTAGTCGTTGATATGTGCATGCAGACGATCTCTAAACATTATACTTAGAGATAAACTGCTGCAGGCGAGCCCTGCAGGGCCTTCCGAGCCAAGCTGCTCCCGCAGTGCCGGCCCAACCTGTTGAAACGACCGCTGTGCCTGACCCAGCCTCCGCTGCAGTGTTTGCCGAAGCACCTGTTAACCCGAGACCTGCTAGCCCAGCCTCCGCTGCAGTGTCTGCCGAAGCACCTGTCCCGACACCTGCTAGTCCGGCCCCCGCCGCAGTGTTTGCCGGAGCACCTCTCCCACCGGCGAAGCCAGCCTCTGCCGCCGCAGTGTCTGCCGAAGCACCTCTCCCGACACCTGCTAGTCCGGCCCCCGCCGCAGTGTCTGCCGGAGCACCTCTCCCACCGGCGAGGCCAGCCTCTGCCGCCGCAGAGTCTGCCGAAGCACCTGTCCCGACAGCTGCTAGCCCAGCCTCCGCAGTGTCTGCCGAAGCACCTCTCCCGACACTTGCTAGCTCCGCTGCAGTGTCTGCCAAAGCACCTGTCCCGGCACCTGCTGGTGTCCCTACGGTGCCTGCTGTACGTGCTTCAGGTGAAGCCACCGCCGCAGTTTTCCCTTGGCCTTGTAACTACGTGGCTGCAGCTGCAGCCAGCAGCCCAGCCTCCGCTGCAGTGTTTGCCACAGCACCTGTCCCTGTTGTTGAAGCACCTGTCCCGACACCTGCTAGCCTAGCCGCTGCAGTGTCTGCTTCAGCACCTGTCCCGACACCTGCTAGCCCAGCCTCTGCCGCAGTGTCTGCCGGAGCACTTCTCCCGACAGTGTCTGCCGAAGCACCTGTCCCGACACCTGCTAGTCCGGCCCCCGCCGCAGTGTCTGCCGGAGCACCTCTCCCGACACCGGCGAGGCCAGCCTCTGCCGCCGCAGTGTGTGGCGAAGCACCTGTCCCGACACCTGCTGCTAGTCCGGCCCCCGCCACAGTGTCTGCCGGAGCACCTCTCCCGACACCGGCGAGGCCAGCCTCTGCCGCCGCAGTGTCTGCCGAAACACCTCTCCCGACACCTGCTAGCCTAGCCTCCGCCGCAGTGTCTGCCGGCCGCCCGGCCTCCACCGCAGTGTCTGCCAAAGCACCTCCCCCGACACTGGCTAGGCCGGCCTCCGCCGCAGCACCTGCCGAAGCACCTGTCCCGACACTGGCTAGCCCAGCCTCCGCCGCAGTGTCTGCCGAAGCACCTGTTCCGCGACCCCTGATGCTTGCCGTCCCTCACACCACTTTCTTTGCGGCTGCAGCCGAGGCCGTGCCCACGCAGCCTGCAGTCGACAGGCCTAGCCTGAAACGCCGACCGCCGATCGACCCGGATGCCTTACCTGTCCTGACACCAGAGCACAAAGCAAAGTATGCCAACTATTGGACGTCTTACTTCAAGAAGCAGAAATCGGAGTCCGAACTGTCGATGCCAAGCACCCCGCCGACAACGTCGCCGACAACGCCGGCTTCTACCGTGGATTCGAATGACATGCTGGAGAGCCTGATGCAGAAAGCCCGACACGACAGTGCTTTTCTGTCGAGGCTGTTGTCCTTGGCAGGCCTGGACTCCCCCAGTGCTTCCGTTGCTCCACCACTGAGCACATCTTCCGCTCCTGCCAGCCTCGATCCTGTGCCCAGTCAAGTGCCGCCGCAGCCTGCTCCTGCCGTTGCTGCTGCAGTCCCCACGGTGCCCAATCCAGCTTTGACAGTGCCTCCTAAGGCTGATCCTGCCGTTGCTCCCGCAATCGCCACGGTGCCGAGTTCAGCTTTGACGATGCCTAGTCAGGCTGCTCCTGTCGCAATCCCTGCTGTGCCAAATCCACCATTGGCAGTGCCTCAGGCTGCTCCTGCAGCTCCCGCAATGCCCGTGGTGACAGTGCCCGAGGCTGCTCCTGCCAGTGCTATGCAGACCCTGGAAGTAGCTGTGCAGCAGGAAGATTTCAAGTGCACGAGCAAGACGCATCCTGCTGCTTGGGCAAAGATGAATCGCTTCGTGGCGAGAAACGAAGTGTGCAAGGAGCTTGGCAAAGCCTGGCAGAGCCTTGGCATGATTGATTTTACACACGCAAACCGTTGGAAAGTCCTGTGCAGTTTTGTTCTCAAGTGTCATATTTTGTTTTGTTGCTGGCTCCCTGAGGGCGGGTGGTGACACGCGACTGTCGATGTTCCAGAAATGGGTCGCCGTCAACGGAAGGGGCTTGGACCTCGAAGCAGCCGTGCAGATGAAGGTCATTCGAGAAACGGAGGTGCATTTCACTTGCAAAGAAACATGTTGCATGTTAGGAAATATGGGGCATTGGATTGTATGCTTCCGATCAGGAGGTGGATCAAGGAGTCTACGTCAGCTGGTCGGGTGTGCTGGCCCACTTCGAGCAGGACATCAACAAGAGCCTCGCCTTCGCCGCAAGGCGCCGGGCCGAACACAAGGGCACCAAGCGAGATCGCAATGACCCCACAGTGGAGAAATTCCTCTTGTGGAACGATGCGACTGTGACGGAGCGCCGCAAGACAATCGCCGTTGGATTGCATATAGGTGTGATAAGCAAAGACAACATTGTCTTGTTTCGCGATTCATAGATCATGTGTGCTTGCCAAGAGCTGAGGACGAGGTGTGTCTCGAGGTAGGCTGTAAGGTTGCCGATGTGGAGCAGCTCCTCTCGTCAATGGACTCGGACCCCTTGTTCTACAAGAGGAATGCACTGCCGGAGCGAGGAGCTCCGGACTCGACGGTCACGGAGGAGCCGTCGGAGCCGAGTCAGGGCAGTGGAACGACCAAGCCGAATAAAGCCAACCCGAAGGCCAACCAGGGCAATAAGCCAAAGCCCAAGGCGAAGGCCAAAGCCAAGTTTCAGAAGGACCGCGGCCATCGTTCATCTGTTGCTGTTTTCGTGTCTCCTGTGCCCAGTTACGTGCCCCGAATTCGGCTCGTTGCACAATGCAGGAGATGTACACCGAGCTGCCGGCCGATTGCTGTGCTGATGATGTCCAGGAGTTTGTCACGAGCTGGATGGCAGCTGTGAGTGACGCACAGGGCCAGGCTGCGATCCTGTGTTCCGAGTTTCTCGACATGGGAGCTCCGCCAAAACTTTTTTTCGCGAAAGTTTGAAAGTTTTTGTGCTAGTCTACTTGCCTCCTATATACTACTATTATTACTGCTATACTGCTAATGGTACTGCTATACTGCTACTGCTATTGCTGCTACTACTACTACTACTACTACTACTACTACTACTACTGCTACAACACTACTACTATACTACTCCTGTATACTGCTATACTACGACTATAGTACTCTGCATGCAGAGAGGGTTGAAAACATCCGAGGCTTCAGGACTTGGAGAGCCAGGAAAAGCTCATGGGCTTGATCGATTCGGTGAAGTTGCAATTGGCCGATCTCCGCAAGGAAATGGGTGCCATCAACGTGGGATCCGAGGATGCATTGACTTTGGTGGCGGCCGTGTGCGACAAGGCCAAGCCGCTCGTGAACTTGTACAAGAAACACACACGTACCGCACGCTCCCTGTGCCTAGGCTGTGCATTATGCTGATTGCAAGGCCTACATAATTAGGGTTTAGTTTTTCAGATTTGCGAGCTGGTGTTTGAGTGACTTTTCGTGTGTTGTTGCATGATGCCTTTAATTTGGTGTTGTACATGTGTCGCTCGATCTGAGGATCACCGCAGAGAAACAGCAAACCATGCCGGCCAAGAAGAAGAGCAAGACCGACCTCAAGAATGAGGAAGGGAATGAGTGATTCTAGGCATCTGTAGGCCCAAGCCTCGCGATTCCAAAGGCTCCGTGGGAACCTGCTAGATATGTACCCGTGTACACTATATAGGGGCAGTATATACCCATAATATGCATGCAGCAACGGCTCTGCATGGATGAACATGGAGCCCTGGGATCAGGGGCACGCAGCTTGTCTTTGATTTGAGTTTCATGCTGCACGCGGGATTCTTCCATGTGTGGTCGAAGAAAGTCCGGATGGCATTGCAGAGTCACATGTCCCAGATGTGCGAGTGCATGCACAATGCAGCGGAATTCTGGTTGCATGTGTTTCTTCTGCAGACATGCATGTAGGGCTTCGATTTCGGTTTGTGTGGAACCCCATGCAACCCATGTAGACCGACGCCCGTGGAGTTTACAACACCTGCCAAGAAAGTCTAACGAATCAATAGCCGTTAACCCGTGCAGCTCAAACCCGACCAAGTATTCGTTAGTCAACCCTGCTACATGTGTGTGACAACTGCTGTGCAAGTGCTTGGTGGGCATGGCTGGTCATTCCCGTCTGACAATGATCAGTGCACCATCTATGTGCATATGGATCCCCGTCGTGTGCGGTCATGCTGAAGAGAGCATCGGCATTGGCCAAAAAATCGCGGCAGAACCTTGCTGTGGGGAATGGCCGAACTCCTGGCGGCCTGAATCTGCGAGAGTCGCCGTTGATGCGGTGGGCCGCCGCGAGAGTGGGGACTGGAGCACCAGCCTCGTATTTCCGGGAGATTGCTCGAGCTGCTTCAGACGAAATCGATGCCAACAAGGGCCAACTCAGTGCTAGTCACGTGGCCTTGCATGATAGTTTCTCGTGTCCCTGTTTGGAATTCATTCCCGAGTACTCTTTGAACCCAGGTTCTCGGTGGGCTTCTCGCTCGTGCAAGAACAAGAATCATGCTGAAAATTTGGTTCACAATGCCATGCGGCGATCGGATGGGGTGCACGGTTCAGCATTATGCACTATTCATGCCGGCATGTGTGATAGTCGCCTTGGCTCATGCATATCATGCTGTGATCTCACCGAGGTTCCTGTGAAATGCACGATCACCCACGTGGACTTGCCCATATCACTACTGCGGCCACAAAAAAGGCTTCGGGAGGACGTCGGCAATGACACTGCCGACGCTGAGAATGCGAATCGTGGCCGTGGCCGGGGCCGTGGCCGTGGACGCTGTCGTCGACTGGGCCGTGGCCGTGCCAAGAAGAAGAAGGGGCATGTTTTGAGAACAATGGTTTACAAAAAATGGCCAGTTTTCCTGCCACACCACATGGCGCATGCTCTGATGAAGGGAGGAGCGGCCCCGAAAATGATGCCCCATGTTTGCAAATCATGTGATGTTGCAATGCCTTGCATGTTGTTGCCATTAGTACGAGTGCCCTGATTTTAGGCAGAACGGCATGAATTGGGTGCAGTTCTGGAAGCATGCTTCATGCGAAATGTGGGGGCGGTCACTCAGCAGCATTTCATTGTGCAAGCATTGCATGAGAAAGGAAACGTGTTTTGCACACGTCCCGTGTATGCAGGTCCCACCCTGTGCAAGCCTTCACGGAGGACCAGAAGGCCAAAGCTCACGCGATCGCTGTGCATGGGGACGAGGGGCAGGGAAAGAAACAACGCTCCGTCCTCGTGCTCAGCTGGAGCTGTCTGGGCATTCGTGGAAATAATGTCCTCCATTACAAGCTACCTTTTGCAGATGCTTGGTTGAATTTACATGTGCATGCTTGATACAGCACTGCTGAAGACTTGTGCATGACCTCTCGAAAAGCATAGCTAGGTGATTCGGTCTGCCCACTTTGCATACGACAATAACGGCAAGAACCTCACGCTGGAGAGCCTCCAGAGAGCTTTTGCGAATTCTCTTCGTAAATGCAGCGATCCGGCAGCGACTTCGTTGCCAAACGGCACAACACTTCAGTACTGCTGCGGCCGAGGAGATTGGAAATGGAAGGCGGAGTGGCTGCAGGAACTTCATGATTATACCAACCTCAGAACGAACCCTACCACGGGACGAACCTTTTGCAGGCGCTGTCGCTGCACGAGCGATGTGGAGTGCAGGCACTGGCTGGATGCGAAAAACTTGAGCTGGTACGAACCAGCACTTGTGCAACAGCATCTGGATGCTTCGATGCCGAGCACGCTTCCTCTCCGAAGCATTCCAGGCTACCATGCCGACATGGAGCAGGCCGATACGCTCCACAATCTGTGGCTGGGGCCGGCGAAAGACACATTGGGATCCGTCTTGATGGACACAGTGGAATTCCACCCCGAATTTCGCGACCTCCCCTGGGAAGAGGGGCTGCAAGCCTTATGCTCGCGAATGCACGATTGGTTTTCAGAGAATAACTTGGATCGTTCATGCATAGACGAACTCAGCCACTCGGATTTGTTATGTTTTTTTGGAATATACAGATCAACGCATTGCAGTTAACTGTTGGCCGCCCCTGTGCCCAAAAGGCTTGCAGAAGCTCTCAGTGGATGCCCTGCGATACGACTTTCCGCTGGGTTTTTCAAAAGGCTGGAGCAACCGGGTTGGACTGGCTTTCGCTGCCGCCTTTCTTCAGGAGCTTAGATTGCAATATATATCAAGAACAATTCCAGGTCTTGACTGAAAGCTTCAAAACCAGTGGACCCATGCAGCTGAGGATACACAGGTGGAAGAGCTTAAAGTACCTGCGACGTGTGCCTGGGCCGTGACGCAAGTGGGCATCACGATGGACAAAGCAGGGCTCTTTTTCAACGAGACCGAAGCATCACAGATGGTTGAGTGTGGCCTTTGCTATGTACGTGCCCACATTTTTCTGGCGAGAGCAGCCCTGCTAAGTGCCAGGGCAAGGTACAAAGTGCGGCCAAGGCTCCATTCATTTCTATGCGAAGTCATCCTCAAAATACACGGCGGCAGCCGCCTTAATCCTTTGCTGACCTCTTGTTGGAGCGACGAGAGCTGGATCGGCAAAGTTTGCGCGATAGGGAAATCCCAGGCAGTTCACCCTAGTACACTCGGCCTCAGACTACTGCAGAGGCTCGAGATGCAGCTGAATGCACACTTAGCCCGGGAGTGAAAAAAGAGTGGATCCCATTGCAATGCATTGCAGTTCCGAGGAGATGTTTGCAAATGCTCCATTCCTCCATTCCTTTCTTCTCTCCTCGATCGGTCTCCTTCCCAGGAAAACACAAAAACTTATACTGCTCCTGTACGTATTATATTCTTCTCTCGTCGATCGGTCTCCTTCTCACGTGCATTCGATCTCATATATATATATATATATATATATATATATATACAGAAAATATTTGATACATGCATGCCTAACCCTATAAGTTATAACCATATATACCCCTAAACCCTAAACCTAAGCAGAGAGAGAGAGGGAACGACCGATTTTGGCTCGATTGCATGTGCTGCTGGATTTCTCCATGGCCGGTTGTCACCAGTTATATATGGCAGGATCCAATTTTATGTGTCGATGCTTAAAGATTCCATGGCCTTATGTCTGTTTGGCTCGCCCCCCAGATTATATATCTTTGGCAGACGCAGTTTAAGGCCGTCATGTATACATTGGGATCATGGCATGCCTGTCGTTGGTAGCGGAGCCCACACGGTTAACAACCTTTTACCATGTTTAAGGACTAGGTTTTGATCGTTTGGTTTTGCGAGATCACCCATGTCAAAGCCGTTACGGCTGTCTTTCTGAAGTGACCCCAAGAAACAGTTCCCGGGAACAATTGACGTCATTTTAGAAAACTAGTTGGCCTTGTTCCCGGCAAAAATTGTTCCCAGGCGCAAATTCCAACCGGGAACTGTCCTCCAGGTTTGGTCCTCACTGCAATCTCAGCTGTGCCAGCTCCCACGGGCCCTCACTCTGGTCCTGGGTATCGATGCTAACGCTGATCTTCTATGGGCCGATGACGACCATGCATATATAGGAGATGCTCTTGGTAGTGGCGAGGAAGGAGCGGGCGAGCAGGGCCTTTTCGATACCATTCAGCGTTTTGGTCTCCTAGCCCCTGCCTCCTTCGACCTTCAAGACGGCCCGGGCTGGTCCTGGGAGCATACTGGTGGCACCCGCAAGCGTCTGGATCACGTCCTGCTCCAGGCTGGCCCCTGGTCCTGCCGTCGCACCCGACAGCTACCTGAGTTGGACATTCTCAACGGTCGTCGGGATCATATGCCTCTTCTGGTCGAGTGCGACCTCCGGGGCCAGGCCACCCGGCTCAAGGCGCCGGCCCCACCCCGCGCCACTGTGCACCAGGCACGAGCCATCGCTGCCGATCTCTGGGGAGCTCTGCCGTCCACTCTCAGGCACATTGACAGCGTGGGTGCCGAAGTGCAGGCTCTTAAAACCCAGCAGCTTCGGGCCCTTCCTCGCCCTCCACGCCGCCCCATCCGCCAGCCTTACATCACAACGGCCTCTGTCACCGCACTCGATCGAGTTCGGCAGGCGCGAGAACAGCTCCCCCGGCTGCGAACCAATTTAGAGTGGCAGCAGCGCCGTTTTCTCTTGCAAGTCTGGCGACTGGGTTGCACCCACCGACGACCCGACGCGGCACCCTTGCGCCCTGATCCGACTGGCCTGCAGCATGCCCGCCTTCTTCTCCAGGCTTGTAATTTACATGTACGGGGTCTTCAGCAGAAGGCCCACTATCTAGCGAGGTCCGACAAGTTGGCTCATTTCCGCAAACTCACTCTGGAGGCGACCAAACACTGGGAAGCCACCGGAGTCCCTTTGGAATCCATCCGGCATCTCCGCTGGCCTCACGCAAGGCACACGAGCGTCGGTCTGTTCACGCCGCCGGTGGATTCGACATTGATAGCGAGCTGGAGGCCCAGTTCCGAGACCAGGAGGGGGCCAGTCTAGTCAGCCCAGCGCAGCTCTCCAGCGCCGCTGAGCGATGGATGCATGGACCTCGCCTCCCGTGTGCCGAGGCGGTCCCCACCCTCTTGCAGATGGAACAAATGTGTGTCCGACAGGCGGCCGCAAAGGCCCCAGGTCCAGACGGTCTGAGGAATGAGCTGTGGCGGACGCAGGGAGCCTCAGCAGGGCAGTGGCTCTGGCCCCTGTGCGTGCGCATCGCTCTCCAAGGGAGGGAGCCTTTTGATTTTAAGGCGGCCATTGTATGCGCCCTCTACAAGAAGGGCCCAGCTTCTCTTCCTGCTAATTACCGCTCTATCGCGCTACTGAACGGTATTGCAAAGCTATGGCATTCGCACCTGCGCTCCACTGTGGGAGGCCACGTCCTGTCGCGGTACGAGCCTATGCAGCTTGGGGGCCGCAGGGGTGTCCACACAGGATTTGCGCTGGCCGCCTTCCGTTGTGCCTGGGACCTTTCCATCTCGGCTGGCCGATGTGTTGCCGTGGTCTTTGTCGATATTCAGGCCGCGTACTATGAGGCAAGCCGGGATCTCCTCTTTTCTTTGAAGGCTTCCCTGATGACGCTGCCCTGCCAGAGCACCACCACCTTGCTGGGCTGGTTCTCAGTCTTCAACAGCAAGGGGCCCTTGCTGCCTTGGGCGTTGCGGAGGACGTTGTTGCACTCCTTCGCGACTGTGTAGCCCTCTCCCGCTGGTCACTCTCTGGCTCTTCCAACATTTTCCTTGCGTCACGGGGGTCTCGTCCAGGTGACGGCCTCGCTGACATCCTTTTTGGAGCCCTTTTCGCTGTTGGCCTTCAGCATATCCAGCGCGCTGCCACCCGTCAGGGTATTGTACACACTAGCGCCGGCGCTGAAGTTGGCCTCTCCCCAGGGATCAAGCCCATCGGTTGGGCTGACGACCTTGCGGTTATGGCTGATTTTGACCGACCAGCTGATCTTCTTGCGCAACTGCCTGCGCTGGTCGGCATTATCCTTGACACTCTCAGACTCCTCCGATTTCGTGTTAATCTGGGTGCGGGTAAAACTGAGGCCCTTGTTGACATCCGGGGGGAGGGTGCTCGCGCGGCCCGCGGAGCTCTTCTCACTGGCGACGCCATGTTGAAGATCTCTGATTCTGACAGCATCAAGTTGTGTCCCGAGTACAAGTATCTGGGTGTGGCAGCAATTGTTTGCCCTGGGAACTCAAACGGGCCTGGGTCGCGGGACGAGTCCTGCCCTCAGCGTACTCCTCCCTTGCTCTGTCTCTGGCTGACTCCGGCCGTGCTACGGCCCCTCTTGCGGGCCTTTTTGAACGCACGGCCAGGATCCTGTTGTCCTCATGGCAGGTTGGGCACAAGCTCACCACCCCACTGCTTCGGCTCCTCGCTGACATAACCCCTCCTGACCTGGCTACCACCATCAGTCAGTGTCGCCTGTGCGTCCAGCTTTTCTGCAAGGCACCCACGGCAGTGCGTGACATCGTCGACGCGGCGTGGAATAGGGCCCTCCCTTGGTGCCAGGCCCTCGTCGCGGCATGTATGAGGGTTGGCGTTGCGCTTGAGGTTTGGGATCCTACTTCCCCCCCCGCCGTCACAGCTTTGTTCGTCCAAGACCACAGCCGTGCTCTTCTTCGTGCCTGCAAGGCACTCAGCAAGTTCGGTCATCGGTACATAGCCTGTGCTCAGCTTTGGGAAGACCTCTCTACCCGCAGGGTCACCCAAATCTTAGGTCTTAGGTCCCCCCCAGGCCCATCGATGCCCTGTGTGCAGCATCATCTTCCCGAGCCTGCACGCGGTCCGAGCCCACCTGCATCGCAAACATGGTGTGCTGTCCGACGTGACGGCATACATGGCCGGCTCTGTCTGCCTCTGGTGCATGCAGGACTTCCACTCTTCTGACCGGTTGAAATACCATCTGCAATCCCACCGGGCCTGCTTGCACGGACTGCGGGTGACGGTGGGGCCTGTCTACCAATATGGGTCGGGCACTAAACGCAAGGGTAGAACGGCCCACAGGGGTGTTCCCCCACAACGCCTATGTGGGCCCTGCAATGCCACGCCAGCACAGCGCCGTGCCGCGGATTTGGGTCTGCCTGCTGATGAGGCGGAGCTGCAACAGGAGTGGGATGCTGTGCAGCGCTCACCGGCCCTCTCCGACCTCGTCCCCGGCAACTTGCAACGGGCCGCTGCGGGGTCCTCCCTCGCTGCTCCAGCCCTTGCCGAACTTGGGCTTCCCCTCGCTACGGCCCCAGTCTCGGAGCCCTCCCTCTCCTGCATCGCCCCACCTCTTTCATCTGTAAGCCCTCAGCCTCCTTGGTTCTCATTCGTTGATGGGGCTGCCTCAGGCCAGGATTGGGCTCTGCCTACGCCCTGGTGGCCCGGGCTTCTTGCCAAGGGTGGGGTCTTTCGTTTTCCCCCATCGTGGCATTGCTTCTGGCCCTTGTGGTCGGCCTTGGAGCTCCTTGCTCCTTGGGAGTTCCGGGCCTTCCGGTCGCTAGGCGTCCTCCGCCGCGCCTCGTCCTCCGGGCTTGGTGCTCCTGTGTCTCTCTGCGATGCGACTTCCGGCAGCTGGTCCTTATTGGGGATTGCTGCCGCCTTGATCTCCTTCCGTATGACCTGTAAGGTCGTTTTACGGATGGGCGCCCTTTGGATTCCTGGGCGCCCCAGTCAACAGGGCCTTGTCCTCTTGCGGCGTTTGCTTCCTTCCGCAGTCTTCCTGGACTTCTGGTCTCCTGCTGGTCCTGTGTTTCTGGCTGCGAGCTCTGCTTCCCTGGCCTCGTCTGCTCGCGCCGTCATTGCCGGTTCTGCTCTCTCGGCCCCGTCCTCGCTCTCCGTGCGGGCTTTCTGGGCCTATCCGGCGGCCTGAGGCCTTTCGTTTTTGTACAGGCTCCCGTTTTCTCTAGTTTCTGGCCGCAGTGCTACAGCAGCACTGCTTTTCGGCCCATGCATGACGTGGATAGCACAGGACTTTCCTCTGGCGCGTGAGTGAGTGAGTGAGTTTAGGGTCTAGGGTTGAAGGTTTAAGGTACTACTGCTACTCCCACTGCTGCTGCTGCGACGGCGACGACTACTTCTGCCAGTGCTAGCAGTACTACCAGCACTACTGCGCCTCCTCCTCCTACTACTCCTGCTGCTGCAACTACTACTTGTACTACCACGACCACAACGACGACGACTAAAACTGACAAGAACAACAGCAACAACGAGGACAACAAGAACAAAGCACCTCTTCAAGAACTGCTACTACCATTTTGCGCTTGCCTCTTGTACGGCTTTTGCCGTGCTGACTCGTTGCTTGTCTTGTTACTTTCAACTACCCCCTGCTTGATGGCATGCTGCAATGCCAGTATCACCGTATGACAATGACTGCCGCCACCCACTGGAAGCTCCAGGCTCCGATCCCTAGACACTAATAATAATTAGTCAAACCCCTAAGCCTTGAAGGTATATTCCTTAATTAAGGGATATTGGAGCCTGTGGGTACGACCTCTTGGCGAACTTGACTAGCCATCGATTGGGATAGCTTTTATTTTCCCTTATTGTTTAATGTAGAGCCCTAGTCATAAATGGAGCTTATGAAATCGACCCCCAGTTGAGTATCTCGAGGCTTCTATCTGCTCAAAATCCCAAAGGCGCTGAACCCTGAAACCCCTATAGTTTCCCGGTAGATCCCTTTACAAGGGCCCTTCAAGGAACCAGTAAACATCCTCAGACCCCTTTACTTGAGTATCTCCAGGCTTCTAACTCCCCTAAACCCTAAACCATCCTTTATAGGATCCTGTATAAAGGAACCTTTACTGGATCCTTTTAAAGCAACCCTAAACCCTCGAGTATCTCGAGGCTTCTATTTGCTGGTCTCAGATTGGCGCCAGCTGAAGCCTTGCATGGACATCTTTGCAGAGGCTTGTCCTAGAGGGTACACACAGGGCTTGGGGCAGGTTCCTAAAGCCTATTGGAGTCTCTGGGTAGGGATGCTTGCTTGCTCGCGGAGTCTTGGAGTTTCTGTTCTCAAGCCCTATAAGCTTGAGGGGTCTTTGCCTATGTGGACTTCTAGCACATGATCGTCTCCTTTTTTTTTCTGAGTCCTTCGGGTCCCTACTACCCCAAATCCTAAAGCCTAAACCGTAGGGTGAGGATCATCTCCTTGTGGTTTTTTTTCGGTTTCCGCCCGGGGAAGTTTTCATGCTCAGTAAGCCTACTCCTTTGCGCCAGGTACAGCGGGCCCAACCACCCTAAACCCAACCCAAAACCAAGAAACTTCAAAGCCTAAACCCTAAACCGAAACCTAAACCCTACAAAGCCTAGGCCATAAATAAACCATCGAGCTCCCAAACCCAGAACCCTAAAGGCGCTCAACTTCCACCACACCCTAAACCCCAAACCCTGAACACTAAACCTCATAAATGTTTTTTGTGACGTTCAGCCCGTGCGTGTCTTTGGAGTTCACTCCGGCTGTTTGTAAAAGGTGGGGAATTAGTTACGTGTTACGTGTACTTACTATAACGCCTTATTGTGTAACTGAGGCTAAGTTTCTTAACAAACACTGGTGCCAAACATCACAACGCTTCAAGCTCCAGACCTAAAAAGTCTAAACTCTGGTGGTCGGGGTTGCTTGCTGCGGAATTTAACTTGTTCCACCGTTCCAGTCTGAGAGCCAACGGGTTTATTCATGCATGTTTAGGGTTTAGGGGTTAGGGTTTAGGGTTTAGGGTTGCATGTTCCAGGCAGACGTCCCACGACCGGCCGCGGTGATCCTTCTTTGCGTGGCTCGGCTCCAGAGATCTCTTTGTTTAGTGGTTTGGGATGTTCGGCGGCAGAGCTCTCTTTGAATAGGGGGTTTGGGATAGAGTTTTTTATTTTGTTTTTGTCAAGGGCTTTCAGCGTTTTCCTGTGATATTAGGGTCTTGCAGCATTTTGGGCCTCGGGTTGATAGACGCCGATCGGCAAGCCGCCTTCTTAAGGGGACACCTGAATCTTGGGATGTATTACAGGGTTCAGGGTTCGCCTACTGCCCCAGCCCAATCTTCCAGGACATTGCCACGGGCAAGAATGCTGGCGATCATGGTCTGATCAACCCATTTGTTTGAGACTCCAAAACCCCTTAATTAAACCCTAAACCCTAAACCCTAAACCCTAAACCCTAAACCCTAAACCCTAAACCCTAAACCCTAAACCCTAAACCCTAAACCCTAAACCCTAAACCCTAAACCCTAAACCGTAACGGGATTCTTGATATGATCTAAGGTATATTCCTTGTGTCACGCCTGCCCGGTAAGTCCCCACACCCAGCGAAGAGTCGTACGCGATTCTTTCTTCGTCTCCACGGGCTATATGAATCTAAATCTAAGGTACCATAAAATAGGGATCCTTTAAAGGGGACTCCAGAAAGTTGGAATATGGTTTCAGGGTAGGATACCCTATAATTTACCATAAAGGGTTTAGGACAATCATATTCCAACTTTCTGGCTTTTACCTTAAGGGACCCGAAAAACTAAACCCAAAACCCTAAACCCACGGTTTCTTCCGATCGGCGCATCAGAGGGGAGGATCTCCCCAACTTTGCTTTGTGGCCGCAATGGATCGTTCTACTCGCCAGCCGCTTCGACGTCACCAACTACAAGTACTGTAGGGGCCTTCAAAATTACCTACAGCATTTCGGGTGTTCTTTTTTATATTTATAGTAGAACGGGCCCCAAAATCTTATTCTAACTATTAAGGCCTCCATACTACAGTGCTCCTGACTGGTCTACAGCGGCGTATATAAGAACAACGTGAGACCCTAAACCCTAAACCCTAAACCCCAAACCCTAAACCCTAAACCCTGAACCCTAAACCCTAAACCCCAAACCCCGAAGCCAGGGGAGGCCCCAAGTCTCGGCGTCGCCCTAAAACGCCCCAAATACGAAGCCCCAAGCCTGGTTGCTTAAACCCTCATCAGCTTTAGATCCTAAGCCTTGGAAGGCCCCCTCACCCTGTAATTAATAGTGACTATAAGGATTATATTAGGGTCCTATTATATTCCTATTATACCACTATTACAGGGTGGGGGGTCCTTCTAACCTAAGCCCTTATAATCCCTAAGCCCTGCGCCCTAAATTCGTAGAATCCTTAAACTGGACCTTAAGCACTCCACCCTAAACCCTCAACCCTCAGAATCCTTACTTGGAGGGTCGGGGGACTTAGTAAGTAGGTAGTAAGTAGACTTATTAGTACCCTAAACGGGACTCTAATGGCGGTTATGGTACCTACAAGTCCCTAAAATACCCAGCTACTAAGTCCCCCGACCCTCCAAGTAAGCCCTTGCGCCGCCCTCGAGAGCAACTCGTGGAACCCTAAACCCTAAACCCTCAGCCCTGATCCGGCCGCCCCCAGGAGCAGGCAAAGATTTATGCCAAGGCGACAGCCTGGAATGACTCAAGGCACTGGGCTTAGAGTTATAGGGTTATGGGCAGGTTTAGGGCTTAGAGTTATAGGGTTATAGGCAGGTTTAGGGCTTAGAGTTTAGGGTTAAGGGTAGAGTTATAGGCAGGTTTTGGGTTAGAGGGTTTAGGGGTCAAAGCACGCAGGCTTTAGGGCTATGGGGTTTAGGAAGTTACTGCAGTGAGGCTTTAGGGTTACAGGGTTTACGGTTATAGGGTCATAGGGTTTAGGGTTGTGGGGTTACAGGGTTTGGGGTGTTTTTGGGGTTCAGGGTTTAGGGTCTAGAGTTCAGGGTTTAGGGTTCAGGGTTTTAATGCGTAGATGCGCGAATCTGATTAACCAACGACAAACACCGGGTTTTATAGCCCGTGCCGATCCATGCTGAGGCCCTGGTCGGAAGCATGGTTTCTCAATCAGGTTTCTGCAGCACAGCAGAAAATCTAATGTAGGTCGAGGCTAGCTCACGTTCCTGTACTAATTAATTTGTGTCGTTTTGGTCTTGGGGCTTTGCAGAACCCCTAATAACTTAAACTACAGCTGAATCTAAAATCTACAGTAGAAGCCCAAAAGTTGGAAACCCCATAGCCTCAATAATCCTTAACAGTAACGTGTAGGGAATCCCGGCACTATGTGACCTTAATCCGGTTTCCAGCTTTATGAGGTTCAGTAGAAGCCAGAAAGCTGGAATATCATTATCGTAACCCGTTTAAGGTAAATTATAGGGGATCCTGCCATTATTCCATATTCCAACTCTCTGGAGTTCCCTTTTTACTGTAGGGAACTTGAGGCCGATCCCTTGCCGCTGGAGTCTCTTAACGACGGCGGACATGGGCCCCACATACTCACGTATGTATTAGTGTATGTATATATATATATATATATATAAATATGTATATACGTTGTCTGATAGATACAGACATGCGATGAATATATACACACACATATATATATATATATATATATATATGTGTATATTTAGATAGATACAGACACACAAGCGCACATGTCTATCTACATTATATGCTAGTTCATGAGGCAGCTGCTATTGCAAGAGGTGTTTTGCCCAATCCTTAATAAATCCTACACCCGAAGCCATGAAACTTGAAGCCTAAGGGCTCCCCAACACCTAGGGGAACCCCAAAGCCCGAAGTCCTAAACCCCAAACTGAAACCTAAATGAGGCTAGAAGCCTCAAACTTCCAAAACCCTGACCTCTAGAAGTCTAACAGGCAAACCGCAAAACCCTCAAAGCCTCAATCCATAAACCCACAACATACAACACTATCATTCCCTATGAGGCCAGTTTATGAAACTTTTCAAAGCCCTTATGAAAAGGCCCTTTGGAAAAGAATCGGCTAAAGGCTTAAGGCTGCGATATTCTGGAATCCTAAACCCTTGGAAGGAATAGTGAAAAGTAAAGCGCTATTCTGACTATTCAAGCAAAGCC